TGGCGGCTCCAGTTCTCGGAAGCGAAGAGCAGCGGGTGGGCGGCCCGGCCCGCTCAGAACTCCTCGTGCACGCTGCGGGCATAGTCCACCAGCTTGCTGCCCGTGAAGAACTCGCTGTACTTGAGCACCTCCTCGGGCTCCAGGTGCTGGTTCTGGTTCTCGTCCGCGATGGCGATCATCTGCTTGGCCTCGTTGAGGGCGTTGTACTCGTTCATGGGATCCATGTACTCCTGCAAGGACGCTGCGTCAGCACCGGCCGCCGCCCAGTCCGCACCCCAGGCCCCGGGAGCCGCCAGGCTGACGGCCACAGTGAGCTCCGCCTTCTCTCCGACACCCTGTGGGCTGGGCTGCAGGACGGGTGCGGGAATGTTCTGGAAGACGGACACAGGTCTGGCGATGGCCCAGGCCATGAGGGTGCTGCCTCTGTGGGCTTGGGAAGAGGGTGGGGAGGGGAGGCCCTGCCAGGATGGAGCCAGGGGCTTGTTGGTCACATGGACGGGGCCTGAATGGTCACCAGGACCCCGAGCTGCCCCAGCCATCACAGGGAGCAGAGGATTCTCAAGTAAAATGAAATGACTCGTCACAGCGAAAAAGTGCTCACGGCACGTCCACCGCGGGTTCCAGCCACACCCTGTGCCCGGCCACCGACCCCCCGATGGGCCGGCTTCTCAGAGCCAGGACTGGCCGCGTCACCCAGGACACCCAGGCCCAGGGACGGGCACAGCCGCCTTCTGGGAGTGAAAGCTGGCGATGCTGGTTGGGCCTCCCCGGGAGCCCACGGCCTCCGCTCAGGTCCCACTAAGCGACCAGTGACCAGTGACCAGTGACCAGCCGTAGGAAGCCACGCCCACGCTGCCTCCTGCTCAGGACCATCTTGCAGGTGGCTCGCTGGCCACGGGCACACCCCCCGCCCCACGCCCCCCACGCTCACCTCCAGCTCTGCCATGGTCACGATTCCGTCGTGGTTGGCGTCAATCAGCTCCTCAAACTCCTTCCGCCTGTCCCTCACCCAGCTGTCGTCCATGTCCTGGCCGCGCTGGTTCTCCACGGTCCCCACGGGCAGGGAGATGAACTCGGACAGCGAGAGCTGCTTGTCGCCGTCCTGGTCTGGGGAACAACGGGGCGCTCAGCCTCGGGTGGCACAGGAGCCCCAGGGCCACGAGGAGGGGCTGTGGCCTGGGCAGGGCCGGCCTCACCCAGGTCCCGCACGATCTCCTTGACCATGAAGCGGAGCATGCCACGGCTGTGCTCGGGGTGCAGGAAGGACAGGAACTCCTAGAAGAGCCAACCAAGGGGTTTTGCTGCCGGATTTTCCATTTGTGACATTTCAGACTGAAGCTGAACAGCCGTGCCTCTGGGGACGGGGGACCTGGTGGTACCAGCGGTCCTTGAGGTTCTCCAGGACTTCCTGTGCTGCGAGCGAGAGGCACCCGTGAACATCCTGGCACGGAACCCGCACGTGTCGCCCCGCACGCTCCAGTCCCGAGACGCTGCCTGAGTGCTGAGGCCACAGGCCCTGCCCCTCAGAGAAGAGTTCAGCCCCAAACTCCCCAACACAGATGTCCTCCCCAGACACAGCCCCGAGTCTCGGACACAGACGCCCCCACGTGCAGGGGCAGCCCCCATGGGCACAGGCCTCCACCGATGCTGGGGCCCCCAGCCGGCTGCTAGGCCACGGGACACGCCCTGACGAGGGCACAAAGCAGGACTCTGACCCTTTCCCTCCTTCCCAGGGGCCGGGCGGAGGGCGGGCCCTGAGGGAAAACCCGCTCTGCAGCCCCACCGGGCCCCAAGCCCGCCCGTCTCTGTGGAC